AATTTTTGATCGCAATTCAAGCTGGATCATTACAACCAAACGGGAGAAAATACTTTTACAACACATTATCGAAGAAGAATACGCTGAACACGAAATCCAAGTCGCCTCGTGGGCAAGTCAACACGTTCTATTTAACCTGACGAGTGGGTAGCTCGTCGTAACACAAAATCCCGTTGATCCACGAAAGGCAACTATTGATTACTCAAATGTTTGTTTAAATCACTGTTCCTACGTACCGAATTGGAATAATAAAAGGCGCGGCCTGTCATGTTGTCGAAAAAAATTTTTTACAGGTTTAAAATTCCTGATAAACGTGTATTTCCTTAGTAAAAAGTTTAAAGGTTTCGCTTACCGGCAATCGAACTGCCTAGACACCTTCTCGATGCCTGGACAGTAACGAATCGTATGCAAGGTTGCGAAAAGATATTGATGGATTTCAGCAAAGACATTATTAAAATTTAGGTGATTTTATAAAGGTGCAAAATTTTTTTTTTTTTTTTTTTTTATTGATTATGCAAATCAAATCTTAAGTGCCTATTTATGCACTTATGTTACACACGACGATTTTTTTACAGATGAAAGTTAAATTTGGATGACGACATATCAAAGAAAGCATACGTTTTAATTTATATATATTTTAGGTATACTAAATATACTGTACATGCGAGGTATGAGTATACAACGCATATAAAAATTATCTAATCATAGACATTTTTTTATCATTAAATTATACGAAAATATTTTACGTGTCATCATTTTAACAAATACAAGATTAAAAACTTGCAAAAAGACTTGCGACTTTGACTAGTTTTTCACATATCCAAAGTACAACCAACTATACGATGCAAATTAAATAAATCAAAAAAATCAAATGGTTTCATGTAAAAATAATAAAAATCATTAAAAAAAAAAACAATATATGTGAAAAACAATAATAATTTTTTTTTTTTATAATTTAAAAAAAATTTTTTAATGTTTAATAAATATTAATATATAATATTTATTAAACTTTTATTTATTGATTATTATATTAATAATCTTTATATACAAAGTGAATAAATTAATTATTATAACTTATTGTAATTTATAAGTAATACGTGTAAATCTTTGAGAACTCAAAAAAGGAAAAAAAAAAAAGTTAAATAATAGTTAGCTATTAATTACATTATTAACTTAATATGTATACTTTATAGATATTAATAATAAGAAAATAATATAATGTTTAGATTTTGAATTGTAATCTAAATTCATATAACTATATAATTAAAAAAAATATAAATAAAAGTCAATGATTTTGTTCAAACATATATTTATATATTGTTTTTCTTTTTTTTTTTTTCAAATATATTTTAATTTATTGAAAAATTTTTATTAATATTTTTTTTATTTGTTTTTATTTCTCTTTTCAATATATATTTTCATATAATTTTTAATTAAAAAAACAAAAAAGAATCAATAAATAATTTTTTATTATTATATTTGTTACAAATTTAAAACTCTAAAATTTAAATAATTAAAAAATATCAAGGTTATATATATTATATATATTATATATTATAATTTAAAGAAAGGTAATTATAAATTATATAACTAATAATTGGATAAACTGGGATATACTTTATAATTTTAAAATTGTTTTTAATAGAAATTGATAGAATCTTGACAAATTAATCAAAAATATATCAATTTTTGGCAATAAGTTGCATAGTAAAGAAGATCTTTAGTGAGTTTAGGAAATAGATAGAGTTTTAAATTTGTAAAAATTTATAATATACTTAATAAAATATTCATAAACAAGACATAAGCTACCTATTAAAAAAAATTTTTTTTAAAAAGGTATTATATAATAATAATTATAAATATAATTTAAAAAACTTTTTAAATTTTTTTTTTCTATACTTGAAAATTTTTAAGTTATTTATTTATTATTATTATTAATTAATTATTTATTATTATTATTAATTAATTATTTATTATTATTATTAATTATTTTTTTATTAATAAAATATTAATTAAATAAGTTAATTTATATATATTAAATAAGTTTAATATTAATTTATCTATATAAAACTATCTAAATTATATATAAAATATCTTAAAATTATATAAATAAAAATAATAATATATCAGATCATACAATTTTAAAAAACAAAAAAAAAAAATAAATAAATAAATTTAAAGAAAACATCAAAATAATAATTTCTATTAATTTTTTAATGAAAATAAATTAATTTTAGTTTTTTGTATTCCTATATATAAATAAAAAAAAATTAAATCAATGATTTTTTTTTATATAACCTTTATAATCAAGATTTTTAGATATTAATAAATTTAATTAAAAGTTTTATTTTTATGTAACTTTAGTCTTTTTAATTAAATTTTTAAAGTTGGCTTATATATAATAGGACTTAAATAAATGATTTGTTAAATCAATATGGCAGAAATAATTTTTATTTTGAAAAAAAAGAATTGATCTTTTATTTAATATATTTAATATTAATTTTTTACTTATAATAATTAGAATTATTTAATTTAAATTTTGTAAGTTATAATTAAAAAAAAGATAATTATTGGTTTTTTTAAAAAAATTAAAGAAATAGAAAATAATTTTTCTTATTATATTATTTTAAAATATTTAAAACTTAAAATAATTATATTATATATCATATTTATATAATATATAAGACCTAAATTAAATAAGAAAAATTATTGATATCTAATAAAATATTAATAAATTTTTTATTATTAATTTTAATAAATATTTCAAAGAAATTGATTAATATAAGTTATTAAATCTAAAAATTCAAATACTAAGCAAAATACAATTTTCATATATATAATAAACTATTGAAACAATCATATTATACAAGAGTAATATTAATTCAATACTGCTTTTTTACTTGATAGTTCAAAAAAAATTATTAATTAGAATTAAATAAAATAAAATATGATTTAATTTATATATTCAAATATAAAAGAAATTTTAAATAGAAAAATTAAACAAATACTTTTGTTTTATTTTATTTAATTATTATAAAACTTACTTATAAAAATTATTGTAATACCAATTAAACAATTTTTATATTATTATATTATCTTTGCAAGTTATAATTTCAATACTTGCTAAATTAATATATAAATCAACTTCTTATAAGAAATAATATTTAAAAAGTTATAATATCAAATATTATTTTTAAATTGATTCACTTGTTTTTATTTGAAATTAAATTGATATCTTGAAATCTAACCTATAGAATATTAATAACTATACTATAAACTTATAGGTCTATTATTATTATTTATTTTAATTACTATTAAAAAAAATATTTTAATAAATAAAATTTAAAATTTTTAATTATTAATATATAGTATATTTTTTATTATCTATAATTTTTATTAAAATAATAAAATTTAAAAATATTTAAAAATACTTTCTAAAAAATAATTTTAATTAATAAATAGTTTTAAAACTTTTTTTTGATCATTTTTAAAATAGATATTATTATTTTAATTTGTTATTAAATTAAAATATAACTTAAATTTTGTAATTATTTTTTTATTTTTAGACAAAATAAAAAAACAAACAACAAAAACAAATAAATAAAAATTTTTTACTTATAACTTTAACTTTATTTAATACTTTCTTACTATTTTTTTAATTAAGAACCATTTAATTCTTTAGAAATCAATTATATTATCAGTTTTAATATTATATAATTAAAAATATATAAGAGAATATATCTTATTTGTTTTTTTATATTTGATATAATTAATTAATTGATAATCTTAATCAATTAATTATTTTTCAAAAAATTTTATATAATAAAAGATTCAATATTAAACTAAAATAAGCAAAATTTTTTAAAAGTTTTTAAAGAATTTTTTTTTTATTAATTTTCTTTCTAAAAAAATATTCTTGTTATAAATATTTTAAAAACAAATGGTAATTGTTACTTGCTCTGTTAATTAAGAAATCAATATAGTTAATAAAAAGTATATAAGACTTTATTATTATAAGGTATAAAATCTTTGAAAAACATTTGTTTTAAAATTCAAGTTTTTAAAAAAATCGGTTTGAAAATAATAATTTTAATTAATCTTACTATATAATTTATTATTAAGTTATTGTTTTAAATAATTTTTTTTAAAGAATTTAAGATAAATAAGCAATCTATAATTTATAAAATAATTTTTTATGCATGCATTTCTATATAGTAATAGAAAAATATAACATTAAATTATTTTATTATAATAGATTATTTTTTGTATTATTATAATTTTGGTTAAATAAAAAATGATAATCGTTTTAGGACGATAAAAAAAGTTTTTTTTTGTTTATAACTATGCATATTGAAAGTAGTATCATTCGTGGAATATATTATACACTAATTTTTAATTACACATAATATTGTATGAACATCATTAGGTTAAAGTCAATAGAAAATTTTTTACTTAATTAAAAATGGTAATAAGTAACACATCATTTTCGTTTCATTTATATTTCATTCGATTATGGTCAAGATTATTTAGAATCCATTAAAAGTTTCTCATTGTATTATAATAGAAATTCACTTGACAAAGATGTTTTGATTTGCTAAAGATGATTAAACTTCATCGCCGGAATTATTTTATAAATTGAGTTTGACTATTTTGATTGATACAAAATAATTTCCCTCTTATCGTTAATCCTGCCATAAAATTTGAATTTCTAATTATTGGAACTTCGATACAAAAAATTTACAATCCATGATGCCGTAGCATAACAAAGGGTGTGTGATGTACTCGAAAGTCTATTAAAACAATTAAAAGAACATGTTTTGCTATTTGCTATTACATCATGAATTCGGAAATATGTACACTAACGAAAAAAAAGAAAAAGAAAAAGAAAAAAAAAAAAATCTCGAAATATAAGACAAGATTAACAAATGGAGAATATAAATACTTTTGCATGAAATTTTGCAATGAATGATTCGTGTGTGAAGTATAAGGTCGCGCATAAATCCGGAGATAAAATGCAGGTAATGGGTATAGTGTACATGTGATGAACAGATACAAATTTATGTTGTGAAAACATATACTAGATAGGTAATAAAGTTCGATAATAAATCGATTAATCTATTGTAAAAAAGAAAGTACTAGAACCTGCTAGCCCAATCTAAACCCAACTCTTAAATAGCTTTGGAAGAAAAAAAAAGAAAAATACCAGAATTGACGTTTCCAAATCTTATACTGGTAAATATATTCTTTTATACGGTAATTCTCGATATAAGGCAAAAATAAAGGCTCTAACATATGCGAACAAATGTGTTTAAATAATCTTCTCATATATTTTCCTCTTTTGTATTTGTTACATTCTTATTCGGATCTTCTATTTTCGGATTTATTTCCTTTTCCTTTGTACCCGCCGTTGGCATAAAAGGTTCATCATTCCCTCCCCAGAAAATTGTGATTTCCCCGTCTCCCTCATCAGAAAACATTGTGCTCCTTCCATTTGTACTATTCGAACTCACCGTACTTTCTCTCTGAAGTTGTGGTGTTGTAGGATCTGTATTATAGACTTCATCACTGCCAAATAATCCAAATGATTGTCGTCCTTCTATTGGATCTAGGAATGGTGAATTGAGGTGTTGTCGTGATGATGGAGCAGCTCGAGTTGATGGACGAGATGATTCTCCTGATGATCTTTCAATGTCTATACGGGGCACTTCATTCATAGTATTGTCATTTCCGACAATTATGCTAGTGGTTTCCGGACTATTCTGTACAGATAATACCGATGGAGTGTTTAACGAAGATTTATCCACCGATAGAGGGTCAGGGGAAGTGGATATTCCACTTCGTATTGAGTTGGCAGTAGTATTTACTGACTTTATAGTGTTAATACGGACAAGAGCTGGCTTAACACGAGTTGCTGTTACTACTGTAGCCGTATTAGCGGTTGTTGTTACTGGAGAAGTCTTGGTCGCTTGTAAGATGGTGCCAACCTCACAAGATGTATCATCTGTTATATCTATCAAGGTGTTTTGTGAAGCATTCGCTTCCTGATAGATGTTTTCTGGAGTTTTTGGCGTGTTTGGTGGTATATATGCAATAGGAATAACATTTTCGCTGTTTATAGAAGTTGTTTCTTCGAGCCTTGTGCCTTTGTTTTTCCGTGAATTTCGTTGGAACATGATATAGCCAAGACAAGCAAAAATCAAAACCACACCTCCAACTACACC